CAGGGTGGTCACAAAGTCTGGAATCAATAAAATTTGTAGCTTACAAATGCTCGAAATTGTCCCCTTTCAACTCAAAACATGTTTGGGTGCGCTTCTTCCAATAGGCAAGAACCCGATGAAGCAAACCGTTGTTGCCATTAATGGTAGCGCATGTCTCTGTTATCCGTTCACAGAGATGGCTTCTCGGATTTTGACTCGATTTCGGATTTTGATTCGATTCACCTGGATACACCTGACTTGATACGTCACGTTTTCGCGTGTCTGCTGTGAAACGCGTGGACGACCTGAACGAGGTTGGTCAAGCACACTCCCGGTGTCTTAAAAATAAATTGAAAAAAAAAACAGCTTAGCAACAGCATTGGGTGACGACCCTGCTGAAAAAACCTCACTAAAACCTCATGAGAAAGTCATGAGGTCTAATGAGAAGGCCGTGAGGTCTCATGAGATCTCACGACTTTCTCATGAGGTTGTCCGAATATCTCATGAGCAAATCCTCATGAGGTAATCCTCATGAGGTCACTGTTCGAAAACGTCATGAGGTTTTTTCTGCAGTGCACAACCGACGAGAGATGGGGACTATATAGCCGCTCTGACGAGTATCTCCCTGATCTCACTGAAGTATCTCCTCTGTACTCTCAAAGTTGGATGCATATTTTTATTTCTACATAGAACATGATCAAATATTTTCGATTTTCGATTTTTAGTCCGAAGAGATTGCCTAGTTCAGTGAGACTCCAGACAATTCTGGCCCATAGGATGGAATGACGCATTGAGAATGATTACTTCTCTAAGGACTCGCGGGACCTTGCAAGCTGAGTCCCATGAAACCTTTCGTGGCTAACGAGGCAAGTACGAGGCAAGCTCTATTCGAAAAGTCAATCTCATGAGATACATGTTCCAAACCTCATTAGGTCATTCTCATGAGATCTCTGTCCGAAAACCTCATGAGGTTTTCTCGGCAGGGACTCTCAGGGTGGATTTCATTGAAGTAATCGGCAACTTATCGTTGCGACCACCCCTCACGATCACAAAATAATATCAGTTAGATTTGTTTCTCTTTTGTCAAAGCCATGTTAAGAGCTTCAGCACATCACCTGAAAAAAGGTTTGTAATGAAACTACATTTTCCATTGATTTCAGACTTTGTGGCCGCCCTANCATTTTCCATTGATTTCAGACTTTGTGGCCGCCCTATATATTAAAAACCCTCGAAGGTCGGTGGATTACTGTTCCGTCCGTTTCAAAATATTCTCTTTTTCTCATCCTATCAAAATCACCAATTGCAATGACATGTATCTTGTAGTTAGTTGTGTGGCTGAAGCTGAAGCTGTGATGGTCATCTTTACGATACTTGAAAACAAAGTTCAACTCTTCAGATGGATTGTGGAAACGTAAAAGAGGCAGGGAATAGGCTTATAGGAAATCCTAGTCAAAGAATCATTTCTGGGTCCATGAGGACTCGCACTGTCTACCTCAGATGAAGTATGGAAAAAGCTGCAGACGGCATCGTCACGGATCTCATCCAAACTAAAATGTGTTTCAGGCAAAACGGTGGGGGGCAATGTTGACGTTAGGTACTAGACAGTAAGCAACTAGGATAGTCATTTTTGTTATTTGTTTTTTGTTTTTGTTTTTGCTTTTGTTTTACAAAACAAAACAAAAATACAAAAATATTTAGCTTTAAGAGGGTTCGGCCTACCCTAAAATTAAGCAACGCTCGACCTCGACACGTAATATCGAAATGGGCGAAATCGCCTCTTGATATCACTAACTATCTTGAATCTTGTTTTGTTGTTGCTGAGGCACTTGTTTTCATCAGATTCGACGTTACAGAACCGTCAGGTCTGATGGATAGTGGAATTTCTGGTTCAGAATCAATCCACCATGGGTAAAGCCATACTCCTAAAGTACTCTGTGTCCCAACTTAGTGCCACTTCACGAAGTTTCCCAATACTCGGTTAATCATCAGTTAATAAGGTGAAATCGATTTTGGAGATCCGAGGTATCATTGGTAATTCTTTCCGAGAGAATGATATTAATTCCTATCCACAGCATTTTTTTTTACTCGAGTGGGACTTCTTGACTTCTTGTTTATTACTTGACTTTCACTCAAGTCAGGTGAAAAAATGTTCCACTCGAATGAAAAGCACTACAGTATATGGTAAATATGGTAAATAGTAAATATGGGCGCTTAATTTACGAGGAATGTCACTATAGTCAGGAGATAAGAAATTTTCTCAAGTTATGCAGTAAATGTGTGATCGGGTACAACATGAGAATAAATAGGAACAAAACGAAGGTGATGGTATGTGGAAGAAACCAGACGGGAAAACTGCAAATAGGATTAGGAAACGAAGAGCTGGAGGAGGTTGATGAATTTTGCTACTTGGGAAGTAAGATAACTAAGGATGGACGAAGTAGAAAGGAAATAGTAAGCAGAATAGCACAGGCAAAGAAGGCATTTTACCAAAAGAGGCAACTTCTGACATCAAGTTCTGTCAACCTGGATGTTAGAAAGAAATTCTTGAGGACCTATGTATGGAGTGTGGCACTGTACGGATGTGAATCATGGACAATTGCGACTACGGAAAAGAGGAGATTGGAGGCGATGGAAATGTGGTGCTACAGAAGGATGCTGAAGATTCCCTGGGTGGACAGAAAACAAATGAGGAGGTACTCGGAAGAGCACACGAAAAGAGGAGGATATGGAAAAGTATAGTACAAAGAGACCGATTGATGGGACACAGGTTGAGACATGAAGGGATGCTGAAGACCATAATTGAGGGGATGATAGAAGGAAAGAATTATAGAGGAAGACCTAGACTAGGGTATACACGACAGATCATACAAGATGTGGGTTGCAACAATTGTCTGCAGAGAAATGAAAAGAATGGCAGAGCGGAGAGGAATAGAGAGCTGCGACAAACCAATCTGAAGATTGATGACTTGATGTGATGATGATGATGATGTGTGATCGGGAAATGCTTTCGACAAAGGAACGGTGGAAGAATGATTTCAGAAGTGTACCCAAGAACATTTTCCTCGAGTGATGAGAACGACAGCTTGTCAATCCAAAAAAAGGCCAGAGCACAAAACTGCAAATTATGAATTAAACTCTACATAAGTAACGTATTTTTCTTCCTCTCACTGTTTTATGAAAAGCAACTCAGCAGAAGCAGAATGGTTTTCATTAAAGGATTCCGGACATGACAATGCTTATTCATTAAGTAGAAAATGCATACGTTAGGAGTAAAGTAATCTTAAAATGGCAAAACCAATTTCTTTGTTTGAATGCAAGATCTGTCAATGTCAAATAAAAAATCGTCTTGAAGAATTCAACAGAAATCCACTGTTGAACGGAAACCATGAGCGAGTTCTTGAATAAGATTTATATTTTCCTCTTGTATTAATGTCTTTGTTTCAACTTGAAGAAGGCAGCCAGGGCTTTCACGGCAGACTGGGATCCGCTACTGAACACAACGACCGGGGATCCATCTTCAGAACGGCTTAAATCCACCCCCAATTTCTTGAGCTCGGCCAGTTTCACCACGAAGGGATCCTCCCCAGGCGATATTCTCAGTTTGTCCATCTGGATTGCTATGTCCCGGGCAGTCTTAAGAGCATTCACATTTTCGGGTCGGGATTCCCTTTTCATCATGATGTCAATGTACCCCACTAGGCTGGTCTTATCCGCCTTCATTGCTTTTTCCTCCAGTAGCTCCAGACTGGTGTGAGCCTTATGAATGAGGGACTGAACTTCCAACTGCGTCTCTAAAAATTCATCGGCCAGCTTATGCAGGTGTCTCTCGGCTCCCATTATATTCTTCGCCTGCTTTTCCTTCATGTATGTCCCCAGCTCTGACAACTTGTCCAGACCTGCCATAAAAGAAACTTCTTTTAACTTCTTCGTGCGGACATCTTCTAACTTCGTTAGGAGATGTCCGCACAATAAAGAAAGGCACATTTGCAGACAAGAATGATATACTATACATGTACGGTAGTCTACAACATTAAAATATCAATCTGTGCCGTATTATATTAAGTAGGGGCTATACCGATGGTCACTTTTGGCCGATGAGCGGATGACCGATAATGATCTAATACCTATCGACCAGTGCTGGTGCTAATGCCTATTAGGACTCATAGAGAGAGCTGAAACTCATGATATCATATTCTCATTTAAGTAGACCTATTCGAAGACAAGTTCGGCTCTTTTTCCGGGTAGCATCACGGCTGGTCTAAAGCCATAGATTAGTGGTGGCCAAAGTGCGGCTCGCGAGACGCATGCAGCAAGCTAAGTACTGTACTTCAGAGAACATACTTCAGCCACCCTTGCCATAGATGTATCGACCTGAGCTATCGATGGTGCATCGATGCATCATGATGGGGGGATTCAGTTATCTCATGTCGCGATCAGGCAGAGATCTAACGCCTGTTGTTTCTTGTCTCGATCGAGGAGCGTATCGCATATTTTCTTCCGTCGTCATCTCTCGTCCGTGATCCGGGGGAGGGAAGGTGTGTCCATCATGATGAGAAATGAAGCCATTGATGCCTCCAACTATCGTTCGCGCTCTTTTCCTTTTGTTGTTGAGAATCATTGACCGTGGTGCGTTCACGAGTTCATTCTTAAAAATAAAGCGGAACAGGTAGCAAGAGAAATCGACCTCTTATCGGAATTTCATTGGGGGCAGAGTGCCTTTTGATATCCAGACCCAAACTGAAGTTCTATATCAGTGGTCGGCAACTAAATTTCACGGCGGGCCGGATGGCAGAATGCTGAACGTTCGCGAGCCAGCGCCTACCAAGTGTCATTAAAATTACAATTTTATCGAATGTCTCATGTCAAACGTGCAGCTTAACGTCTATTGTCGGAACGTAATGCCCGATATCCGGGTCTTCGCAGGCCAGAGAGAAGGCTTCCGCGGGCAGTCAGTTGCCGACCACTGTTCTATAAGGTAGTGATCGTCTGCTGATCAAAGGTAGTAGCGAATTTTTTTTTTCTTGTATTTAATTACTTCAACGAGTAAAGTCCTACTTTCATTTGGCTAAAAAATAATATCATTCTCCTTATTTTTGCCCAAGTCATAATCCTTCAAAACCATCAAATCCATATACTTCCCAGGTTCAACCAATCACGATATCCCATCAAACTTAAAGGGCACAATTTCCATGCCGCCATGAATAAGCAATACATTTTTGAAAAAGAATGCAAGATTTCTCCTTACCTTTTTGAATTTCCTCCTGCAATTGCTGCAAGGCGTCTTCGACGACTGTCCTCTCATTCACAACCTCCTTTGTGATAGCAAGGGAAACTGCCTCACAGTCCTCCAACCGGTTGCAGAATAGCCGTATGCAGTCAAAACACCCATTCCATAGTTGCTTCATAGTTGCCTCACCACCAAGAAGAAACTTTTTGGAATTGGTGAAAACGGGAGAATTGTTGATGGGGAAGGTGTCATGAAATGGGACGTTGGCCTTATTCAGGGCCTTCAAGGCAAGTGGTTCAGTCCCGTCGGAAAATGTTAACAAAGCAACGAAGGTTTTCCCTACGTCATTCCCAAAGACCTCCAACACCGAGTCGAAAATATACATCTGTTCAGCCGTGAGACGAACGATATTTGCAGGGACGACAAGTCCGACAGCATGAATTCGAACGATGTCTAGTCGGAAAGGGTAAAGTATCTTCAAGAACTTTAAAAGGTGATAAAAGAACAGTACTAGCTCCGGCAGACACAGAGGCTTAGGACCACACAGTTACTGCCAGTCTCACACACCCTTAGACCGAGGTACGACCGCATGAATGATATAGGCTGAAACTTCTTTTGTGTTGCTGGAAGCTCCTGTGTCTCCTTCGTTGATAAGTTTGAATCGGAATGGATCCTCGAATTCCACTCCGAGGATGTAGTTGACGATTGTGTTGATCAAGGTCGTCTTTCCTGGAATCCGATACATTTGTTCTATAATTTCTTTCCCGCTATGATAAAGGGAAATTTAAAATCTGTCTTCAGTGGCCCTCGCATAATACGTCATGATATCACATTCGTACCAAAGCGCGTAGATAAGACGTTAGGGCGTTTTTTTCCCCAAGAAAACTTCCTGAATCAAACTTGAGAAATACCTACATTTTGTCGGAACACATTAGAAGGCTGATATATTTTGAATTCAGATGTTGCTTTTGCTTGAAGATACACTTTTCGAAATTTTCACATCACAGTTACTTTTCGCCAAGCTTCTGAAATGACAACTATATGATGACTAATCGCGTGTAGAACGAAGGAACAAATGTTTTAATTATTTCCAGGTTTTGTTCATGGCAGATTAGGCAGGGGTTTCTGCAGGGCACGAAACTATTATCATATATCCACATATCTGCATATTACAGCAACCAGGAAATTTTAAAGAAAAAGTACGAAATAGGAACTTTGCTCGTTCTTAAGCGGGCTTTAAATTTGAAGACAATTTTCATGAAAGATTTTTCTATGCCCAAGTCTGCGCTACTGCTCACCACGAAGGTAAATAATGGGAGGCCCACTTAAAGAATAATGTGGATATATTGGGATAACGTCAGGTATACTGAGATGAATGTGAAAAAAGCATGATTAAAATTAAACGCTATTTAAAAATTCTGCCCATGATAATAGGGAATAGGGAGAAACCTCTTCATTCTTACTCGTATGCAGACATTTTTGCAAGGAACGATCTCATAATAGGACTAAGGTCATAAGGATCCCCAACAACGGGTTCTAGGAAAACGGGTTTTGTAGGGAAGCAAGCAGAAAGGGAGAATTTAGTACCTAGTCTTTCTTGTTAAGCCTGTCCCACTGCAACCCAACTAACGCTTCTTATTTTAACATTTCTCTCTCTTTGATCGTGAATATACTGAAGCGATTCACGGAGTATCCCTTCGAAGTCCAGATGAACGGTTGCTGGATTAGTCCGTTGCAACATGGTGTTGTTGAAAGAACGTACCCGCCCCTGTGGCTCCCGTGAACATCACAATTCTCCCGATGCTGATGTCCGAGACGTCTGGCTTGAGGATGTGATAGATGCCATAAGAACCTACTTTCCGGCACACCTCCTCCTTTCTCAGTTCATATACGTCGAATCCATTGAATTTTTCCAGGGGAATGGATTTGTCTCGAATTCGTTCTGCCACTCGCACTTTCTCCTCCAACTGGTGAATATTAAGTAGGTTTTATATGGATCAATTTTTGTCTCTGTGTATCCTACTTCTGGCCCCTTTCCCCTTTCTTCGTACCTTTGGTGCTGCAGGAGTAGAGACTTCCACATTCATTGTCGCCTGCCTCTGTGTCTCATTCGTTTTCTCCTTCCTGTTGAGAGTCCAATAATATTGGAAGGCAACTACAGTACTTTCACAGGAAGCAGAACTCAACCAAAACGTATGAAGTACTGTAGAAATTACAATGGTGGGATTCCTACATCCTACCCCAGGCTGTTGCAGGATTAGAGATCCTACAACGTCCTTGCAGAAACTGGATAGTTTGATGTGATGACGGCTGGACTGCATGGAAATAAGACTGCAATTTTTGAAGTTGGGCTCAAGTCATAAACACGGGCCATGAGAAATCCATAGACAGGAATTGGAGATTGACCACAATACATCGTTCAATTCTGCGACCTCGCTCCTTCATCGGTATGGGCACATTACGTAGTACTGGCTTGATGGTTTAAAGGTACCTACTGGTGCAACTTATTCCAACCTACAGTGGGATACCTGTCCGGATGGAGAACGAACTAGCTCCCGTAGCTTCCTGGTGGTCCGAATCAACTCCACCGGATCTCAGACGATTCTTGTGAGATTCATGTTCGGTCAAGACTATGGAAGTTTTTAAAGACTTAATATTAGAAACTGTCCTATTAGGCACTTAGTACAACGGATTATATATCATACTTGCAGTAGACTTCTCCCCCCCCCCTATTTCTAAGCAGTGTCTCTCATCTTAGTAGCTGTGGACAGGCTAAAAGCAATTCCAGTCCAAATCTTTCTCCGAAGCAAGAGTTTACTTTTCAATGCACTCGCTGTCACTGTTGCTGCTTGTCCTATCTGACTTCTCTATAGTTTCATAGGCCTTTTGGAACTCTTCCAGCATTGGATGACTCGGACTACCACTCGGACTACCACTCTATCTCTGCTATGTAGTCCCTTAGACACTGTTACAAGCAGGCTTCGAAAGGAATTATGCTACACTAGGAAAATATAGATAGGAAAATTTTCTCGAGGCTGATCAAGCTCCTATCCTTAATTGTGTGTCCCCGCAGGAGCCAGTCTATATAAATTATTTCAAGAAATGTAATACTGTACTTGAAAAAAAAAGTAATGGTTAAATTATTCCCATACTTGTGTAAGAGGAAGATTCTTTCAATCGTTTGAATGAATCCCTTTGGCTGTCGTAGGAACTGCACATCCCGGTCTTCATCCTCCAAAGGGAATCCATAGATGATCTGTTTTAGGTCAGAGAGAGGTTGATCAAATGGATTCCATTCCTCTTGGTCTCTCACGCTCGACAGCCACATGGCGGTCTGGAGAGCGGCTTCCAGGGCTTCAATCTTGCTGGTGCTACCTTGATACATCTCTTGTTGGATAAGGAAGTTGATGTAGTCCACCAGGCTGGTTCTATCTACCTTCATTGCTTTTTCCTCCAGCTGGATCAGGCTCGCGTGAGCCTTATGAATCAGAGATTGAACTTCTACCTGTTTCCCCAAAAATTGATCAGCCAGGATCTGCAGGTTCTCCTGGGTTCCCTTTGTTTCCCTCATATGCTTTTCGTCATTGTATCTCTGCTTCAGCTCTGACAACTTCTCAAGGCCTACAATAACAGGAGCTCCATGAGAAAAAAATATATACTATGCAACAAAAAGGGAAAAAATACAGATATGGGAGATCAAAAACACAGATGTGTAGGAAGTAGGCTCTGAGTCTTTGCTGTAATGAATTGAATGCAATGTTTCTTTTTAATATAAACAATATGTAAATCTACTACGTTCCATAGGTTCTCAGCTTCATTCAATACAAATATCCAATTTGCATTGCATTGCATTTATTCAGCTGCAAAGAATTCGTGTTTTCTCACCGCTATGAATTTCCTCCTGCAATCGCTGCAAGATATCTTCAATGGCCAGCCTCTCATCCAGTACCTCCCTGGTGATATCGAGGGAAGCAGCACCACAGTCCTCCAACCGTTCGCAAAAGAGCTGCATCTTGTGAAAACACGCGTCCCATCGGCTCCTCAGCGTATTCTTCCCGCCAAAAAAATTCTCCGGATTGGCGAAAACAGGTGAATTGTTGATGGGGAAGGTGTCATGAAATGGGACGTTGGCCTTATTCAGGGCCTTCAAGGCAAGTGGTTCAGTCCCGTCGGAAAATGTTAACAAAGCAACGAAGGTTTTCCCTACGTCATTCCCAATCCTTTCCCATTTCATAGAAGTTCTTGAAATTTTCCACTATTTTCTTGTCATGATCGAGGCCGTCTGTGTCTCCGAATCCTGGTGTGTCAATGACGGTCAGAGTGTGTGGGAATCTGGCTCCATGCTGTGCGTGAATGATATAGGCTGAGACCTCCTTTGTGCTGCTGGAAGCTCCTGTGTATCTTTCATTGACTAGCATGAATCGGAATGGATCCTCCAATTCCACCCCGAAGATGTAGTTGACGAGAGTGTTGATCAAGGTCGTCTTACCTGGAAATCCACCAGAAGAGAATTTGTCGTACGGCTGCTCGCCTGGTTATGTGCATGGAGATCTGAAATTTCTCTCTTCGCTCTCTTTTCTACGTGATGAAGCATTATAATGAACTATGCTCAAGTGAAGGGACCTCATTTCAAGTGGAAACAAACAAACTTTAGTAATAGCTATTTACCTTATAAGGACCACCTCAACAATCATAAAGATATTCAATTCATGTACTTACCGAATTATATGCATTCGGTTCACGTTTCGCATATTGTTTACCCACATATCAAGTAGAGGTATGGTTCTTGTGTGTGTAACTAAGGTTCAGAGTATGGCACGGACGGATATACTTTAGTGCCATTTCAAATATTTTTTTAAAATTGAGCTATAGCAATAGCACTTTGGGGAAGATACAAAACAGGGTAGGCCAAAAAAACCGGACAGTTTTCAACTACACATCATACTTCACTCACAGCATCTATTTTAATGTGGTTTGCGGCATTTGAAAGAGGAATAAATAAGTTATAAAATGGTTTGCTTACATTTCTCATATCTTCAACAGTTTTAGAAATTCGGAAGTTTGCATGAACAACATGCAAGAACTGTGTTAACCGTGCACTCGGACGCAGACAGCATGTGGCCTTCAGCCGCCGCCTGTTCAGTTTCACTGTTATAAAAAAAACGCAGTTTTTGTTAGCAGTTCATATGAGCTTCCGAATTTCTGAAACTATTGAAGTTATTTGAAATTTAAGTACACCAGTTTAACCCTTTCACTGTTCAGCAAGAAAATGCCCTCCACCTTGTGTAATGGTAGACCTCCACTCGGACTACCACTACACAAGCAGCGCGCAACCCTAGTATGTACTCCGGCTAACAGCGAAAGGGTAAATGCTTAGTTATTCCTCTTTCAAATGCCGCAAAACGCCTTAAAATACATGCAGTGAGTGCAGTACAGTGTATCGTTGAAAACTGTCCTCTTTTGGCCAACCCTGTATTTGAATTCTTAATACGAAGGTTGCTCTTCACCAAGCCAGCGTATGAAATAACTAATCGTACATAAGGCCTGTAGAAACAATCTCTACTTTTGTTCTAAGTTTTGTTTTTGCATGTTAGGCTGGGGTAAGAAACTTTCAAATGTTTACAAGTTACAGAAGCCTGGAAGTTGTAAAGAAAATTTACGGAAGACATTTGGTCCTCACTATAGCAGGCTAGATACCAGGAGGGAAAAAAAAAGTTTTGATAAAATACTTCCAATGCGTCAGTCAGCTCCTACAGTTCACCATGTAGATTAGGATTTGCACAATTATAATTATACTTCATAATGGTACCTGTCGGGATTTCAAAAACATAGTTTGTTGCAAAAATAACCGCAGCCTATTGTGACTCCAAATATGTCTGTTGTGAATACTAATGAATAGCTCTAATAATCCGCTATTATTACAGAGGAGGTAAGCATTTACTCCTTTCACTCGCGATTCGTCAGAGAGGAAAATTAATTTATTTGCACTTTCTATTAGGGCATAAATACAAGACATGTTAAGCCATCTTGGACTTGGCTGACACCGATAGCCGACATCAACCGTTAACATATTTCACCAGTCCGAATTTCATTGACACATTCTGACTGAGACTAGGATGTGCCTAATTGAGTTGTAAGAATAGGCTCATGATTGATATGTCCAAACGAACACAAAATGGTATAGTTAGAAGAGCGTACCAGCACCGGTAGCCCCGATGAACATCACGATTCTTCCTATGCTTATGTCCGGGACCTCTGGCTTGAGGATGTGATAGATGCCATAGGAACCTACTTCCCGGCACACCTCCTCCTTTCTCAATTCATATACATAGCATCCATTGATTTTTTTCAGGAGAATGGACTTGTCTCTAATTCGTTCTGCCACTCGCACTTTCTTTTCCATCTGGTGAACATAATGGCAGTTTGATATTATCAATTTCTGTCATATGAGTTTCTGTTCCCCTTTCTTACCTTTGGTGCTGGAGGAATTGGGATTTCCACAGGGGTTGTCGTATGCCTCTGTGCCGCATCCGTTTTCTCCTTCCTGTTGAGATTCTAATCGTATTGTAAGGCAACCACTTTCATATGTGATGACGGTTAGACAGCATGGAAACCAGATTGTAGTTTTGAAGTTGAGTGTTCTGTTGATCTCTAATCTTAAACATGAACTTTGAGAAATCTCGGAGTCAGGAGTGGATGACTGATCACGATCTAAGATGTCGTTCAATTCTTGAGGACAGAGTCATCTGTCCTCAAGAATTGAATAAAGGCCTATTTTCCAGAACTGAAACACTTCAGTATAATTACAGTTCGGCAAACTTTGGGGATTCCCCTAAGGCTTAGTCATTATCATTATTCATCAAAGATGCAATAATATGCAACTAGTAAGTGAATACAATCCACATCTCAGAAATGTGCGTTTTTGGTCAAATTAGTTCGGTCTGAGGGGCAGTGAAGAGTGTCTTATTTGCTCTGCGTGTATGCAAGTTAAAGGAAAGCTACCTTTGTGAGAGATGAATCTTGGAGAGTGAAAAACTTTCCCCTATCCATCCTCATAAAGGGTGTAGGATGGATTCTTGTACTGTCGTTTAGGTAAAGGAACTTTAAGATATTAAAAGGCCTTTAGCAAAAATGACGTTTAAGAGTAGTTCTTTCTCCTCTTAAAGATGCGTTAGCTAAAAGGTATTTTATATCAATAAATCTGACTGAAGCATTTGACAACCTCGGTTGCAAACTTGGTTTGCACGAGTGCTGATAGCAAGTCCACCTAGAGACGTGAAAGGGGTGAAAATTTCTCTACTGATGAGCGAGATTGCTTAATATCTCTTGTGAAGACCAATAAAAGCGTTATCGAATGCAAGAAGGGTGTTAAAGTGAGCAATGCTCTGAAGAACAAAGCATGGGAGAGGGTGGCGTTCTAGCCTGTGACTCAATTTCCGTCAGTCAAAGAGAAATGTGTTCCAGATTCGCATCCTTTGGGAAAGAATGAAATGTGGTCCTAAAAAGGAAGCTGATGCAAGATCCAAGTACTCCTGAGAATCCAGCAAGCTTATGAAGTCTATTTTAAGCCGATAATTTCTGCAGGGCACAGGAATGTCACAAATTGAAGTCTCAAATTCGCTAGGGCTCTTGCAACTTGATGAATGCATGCATTCACAGCTGATTTCGAGAGGCGAATTCAATCCACAGCACCTCATGAAATGAGTTCGTTGTGCAGGAGTGCAATGCGATCAGAACATGCAATTTGGGATGCACGTCCATTCTTCGTCGCTGTTGGCTAAGGCGTCAAGTCAGGAGCTGGGAAATTTCCACAACTGTCTCCTTCTCGAATCGAAATCGACGTTTGAATGCAAGAGTACGCATTGGATCACTACGGTCTGCCAGACTTCGAGCCATGCTATGATGATCGCCAGCTCTCACATGACGGACTATGCGAAGATTATGCAGTTGTCCCAGCGTCTCCATTTTGGAAATGCCAAAAAGCTGTTTTAACTGAGTCCCAAGACCACCTTTAAAATCATCATTATATAAAAGGGCTTTTATTGTAAAAGCTTGTACAAGAATCACATTAACCTAAAAGAAGCGATTAAAAGTCTGTTAGCAGCTAAAAGAGAGTACAAGAATCCACCCGAAGTCTTTTGCTGGTGGAGCCACAAATGATTGAAACCTGTACCAGAAGGCATTCAAGAATGCGAAACGTCAGCCTCCATTCACATATTTGTTTTCTCTGAGGCGGGGATACATTGATTTCCGAATATAAAAAAAAATAAAAGTTAAGGCTGAGGAGAACCATCCTTCAATGATATTCGTGTCACGACCAAGTGCGACTGTTAGGGAAACTTGAGATTATCCTAATGGGGAAATAAATAAATGTAAATTGTTTCTAGGTATTTCTTCAATAGCTTCTCTAGATCGTTCTCAAATCTTCTTGCGGCGTGAAATGCGAATACAAGGTGGTCGAGTCTCGATTACGAGGCTTAATAAACAAAATGTTCCCGGACTTATTCGATCCGTTGAAGAAAATCACATAATCAAATTGCCTTCTTTTTTAAAGCGGTTCCTTGGGGCAGACACTTTTTTTTTCCCGAAGTTCGATGTGGTCTGAAAACACGCAACCGCAGAAGAGGCGTTGCGTCCATAATCAGCACGACCCCTATTCATCTTCAATCTCCAACTTCTTTTGAATAGTTGCTCGTAGCCTTTCTTCGGTACATCGAATTTGGATCGAATTTCAGTCTATTGGAAACCTGCGACCTATCTGCAAGGCACGTTTTGTAAAAAATAGATTCAGCGGGAGCGAAGGCTATGGGTGTGAAGTCGTAAGCCTTTTTATTGCCATATCTCTGCAATTATGCTTTTACCTGGTTTTCCCTTGGACATATTCCGCCTTTCAAGTTACTGTCGAGAGAATCAAGTCAAGAGTGATACAATTTTTTTCCCATTCCTCTCCCATCCATCCTCGTCGCTCTCGGTTGTTTGGGGTTCATCAGCCCCACTGATTTCAAGCTCAGCGTGGTGGATTCAGCCCGAACAGGAAAAAAACTGATTTCTGTGCATGAGTAGGACAAATGTTATCGCTGTGTCAAAATAGCCTGGATCTTTCGACGGCCCCACAAGTATGCCTTTAACAGAGTTTTACTACCCATTGAAAACGACAGGAAAATGCACTAGAAAGTGAATCTTATAAATTTCCTTATGCCCAACGAGTCTAGTCCGTTCAGATTGCTTCTGAATTACGAGAATACAGGGTCGTGCAAAAGTTCCCGTACACTTTGAAAATTAATTCTTTCACTAATCAACGAATTTTTGGCGATTCTGATGTGTGTGTTTTTTTTTTTATTCTACGGACATTTTTGATACGAAATGTTTTCATTATAGTAAATTTCAGTCTTCATTTGAATTTTTTTCTCTGGAGCTATGACGCCTAAAGAGAATTGAAGCGCTAATCGAAGTATACGGGAACTTTTGCACAACCCTGTATATAGACGATCGTGACTGACTGACGCTAATTCTAACCATGTTCTAGAAAGGTTAGAAATCTGAAACTTGGTACATATATACCTTTTGGGATGCAGAGTTCAGAAAAAATCGGACTCTGGAGGTACATGCCCTGGGGGAACACATTTTGAGGGGAAACTTTTTTTTTATTGTGATGTATTAGGATAGGATTCAGAAAGTCGATTGGTTGTCCCAGGTTCTGTGGTGTAGTGGTAGCACATCTGATGGGCAATAAGGAGGTCCGGGTTCAATTACCGGCCATTCCATGGCTTTCTTTTGTCGTTATTTTGCTTTCCATGTCCCGTTACTCATTCCCCCTCCATAACATTATTTTTGCTTGAGTAAAACGGAAAGACATGGAAAGCAGAAACCTGGCATGGACGTGCCTAACGAGACAAGGAGTTCAATAAAAAATTTTAAGTTTCGATACATCCCCTGGGGAAATTTTTCCGAGGGGCAATGTTTTGAAGAAAAAAATTGTTGTGGCGAATTGGACAAAAATGGAATGCTGAAACTTGGCACACGTATAACTGACATGATATTATTGAGTTGATGGAGTATTCAGCTTTCATGGTGCATCCCCTCCGGGCATAGCTTTTGGGTGGGTCGGCTATTCAAAATATGATATTTCACCAGCGAAGCGGGCAAGCGCATAAGATTGAAACTTTGCGAGCATATAGTTCACTAGGATGGATTTCGGTAAAATAAGGAATAGGTACTTTTCGGTTAAAACGACTCAGGACACATATTTTGCAAAAGGCGTATTTTCCAAAATTTTCCGATCCAGCAAAACAGAGGGCGCAAGAAAGTTTAAACTTGGCAAAGAGGTACCTAATCGATAGCTGAGTAAAGAAAAATTCTACTTTTATTCTACATAGACGATCGTGAGTAGCTGACTGACATAAGTAGCTATTCCTATTCTGAGTTCAGGAAAAATTATACTTTGGTGATACATGCCATAGGGGCACACCTTTTCGGGGAACATATTTTCAAATAGTTCTCTTTCCTTCAATCAAACAGAGACACTTGAAAAGCTGAAACTTGGCAAGAACGTGACCGCTGACGCACTGAGCTCAAATGTCAAACGTCAAATTTCCAAAATATTTTTGGGGTTCACATTTCCTGGGGACGTAACGTTTTCAAATAAGTTTTCATATCCTGCAGAATCGGGCAGAAATAGAAAAGTAGCTGGCGCGCACATAACGGACGTGATGTTGATTTAAGGAAAAATTCAACTTTTCTTGTGCGCCTCCCCAGAGCACAGCTTTTGGGTGGGTCGCTTTTCCAAATACATTATTTCCGCCAGCAAAAAGGGGAAACGTATAAGGCTGAAACTGGGTGGCATGGAGCTCCCTCAGCCTACATTTAAAAATAAAAATAAAAATTTGTTAAAAACCCATCAGGTCACTTTTTTTCAGTCCCATTTTCCTGAATTTTTCTTCCATTCAACGAAACAGAGACAGAAAATGTACACTTCCCTCAGAAGTACCTGTTTGATGGCTGAGTACAGGAACAATCCTACATTTGAAATATGTCTCCTTTGCCTAGATTATAGGAGGGAAGTACTTCAAAATGTATTCTCCACCCTTGCAAAATGGGACACAAGAAAGATTTCAAGTTAGGCACAATAGAAATCATAGAAGTAATGATTTTGATAAAAATCAAGTATTTCGTCCCCATAAGTCAAGTATTGTAATGGAGACGTACTTTAGATACGTGTTTCCTATTTCGCAAAAAATAAATGAATTCATCACTATTCAAGGTAATGAAGCGCCGAAGGCGCGACTAACTCGCTAGTAGAAAAATAACACTTGTGTTAGATCCTACTTTCCAAATAAAATTATCCTATGATTCCAGGAGACATCTGGTGCATTCCTCAATTTCTTCTATACCGATACCTACCTCAGAAGCTGCAAGGCTCTTTTCCATCTTTCTTGGAAAATATTCCCCCTCCCAAAAGAAATATATATATATAATTCCTTTTTTTTGCTATATTCATATCATAATTTTATTATTTGCATTTGCACAGTTTTGCTTACAATTACAGACAGTGACTTACTTAGTGTAGAGCAGGTACTAGGGATTGTCGCACAATACTGAAGACGATTGCTCTGGCAGGGAATTGCGCGTCAGGCCTGGCCAGGGATTCAGTTTCCTGATTCCATCACCTGAAATCGGGGAAATTGAGGAGATTCTCCTCGAATGGGAACACGAAGAAAAGGCCACGAAAGCTCAGAAAAAGCGGTCGCTCTCTCAATCCAGGATAGTCATCGACCGAGTCGTCGTCCAGACCCTCGAGCGCCGCGCCAAGTAAGTCCAACGCGATTTCTTCGTGCATCCTCCCAGAATTCGACATCCATTCTTGGCGTAGGGTGGCTTTCTGCGGCCGAGATCGAGAGCTGGTCTCTGGAGATAGGATGGCGATGAGGTGGGATGAGAGTGGAGGATGCCTGGAGAGGTCCTTACCCGATGTCAATCAGTCGCTTAAGGGGTCTCTTTTCAACTTCCAACTGAAAGGAAATGTGGAAGAATTACTTCGGAAAGGTGAATCCACGCTGGCCATTTTAAAATGATAATTGCTGTCGCCGATATCATCACCTTCATCAGGCCACGGAAACCATAAATAATTATTTCATTGTGATCAGTGAATATGTATGCCTTTCCCAAGTTTCTAGCATGATGAAGATGGAGATGAATTCCCTCTCCTCATTATTATAATCATTTCATCAGCAACATAAATGTCTCAACAAGGGCATTACCATTCATCCACTCCCATTATGATGTACTGCCTCTAGTCCCTCGGTCTTAAAAAAACAGACCATGCATCATTATTATCATCAATAAAGAGTAATTTCCTTCTGGACTCCCACCATCATTTTCCCTATTCCGAAAGGCTCAGTCTTGAAGGCGGACTGGGTTCCTGATTTGGGATTTTCATGCACAGCTCCGCCATACACAACCAAGTGAAAAAATTGTAAATGATCCTCATCGCGGTAAATTCAAGTCTGAAAGTATGCGATGATCATGAGGCAAATGATATGAATCACAAATTCAGCATTCACCTTATTCCGATCATTATCGTGGTAATTTGGTGCCGAATATATTTGGATGTTCAAGATTTGGGTCTCGATGGGAATTCCTCGACATCACGATTGGGGCTCGACCTTTCACTTAAAATAACAATACTTTATGAAAGGTAATTTTTGCTGCGAGTGTTTGACTTCCTTTTCGATGGGAAAGTCTGTCTCTTATCGAAATATTGAAGTTCGAGACTGCAATATTCCACTAGGTCGCGACCACTTTATTCCCCAAGACCAGGCTCGCTTCCCGGTAAAACAAAAGAAGAACCTCCCCACGAACCAGGGAATCGGTTCGGTCTAGGAATCCAGTCAGCCCGAGTCCCCCCCCCTTCCCCCCCTTTCGTCTCCCCTCGCGAATGACTACGCGATCCAACTTAGCCTCTACTCCCGGCCAAGTTGTTTTCGATCAGCTGTCGTTCCCATCGTTACAGTCGCCTCACGGTCGACCGAAACAAGGAATTATGGCGCCATTAAACGTCGACCAGTTAGATGAAAATGTCCTCGTGCTCGATCTAATCCAATGGCCAAACAGTAATAAAAAACTGCATTTCTTTTTGCGCCGCAGTCCTACAATCTGGTCTTTACTCGAGCAAACAAGGTTGAGAGAACTGAAGAGTGATGTCGCTCCAGTAGACTTTTCTATGAAGACCTCGCATCAGCGTAATGGAAAAAAATGGGTTCCTCCTGCGGTGGTGATAGAAAAAAGTAAGATGTTCAACAATAAAGTTCCGAGAGTCAACCCATAAAAACTGATGGAAATGAGATACAAGAAAAATTGTTTAAATCGCCTTCAAAGTAATCTCCTCTGGCCTCAAGACACTTATTACACCTTTCTAAAAGCTTTGAAGAACACTTCTCAAAAGCATCTGAAGAAATCGCGTTTACTTCGACTGTCACATTCTGTTTGATGTCATCCATATCCTCAATCTTTTCCCTTTGAGTGCATTTAACTTAGGAAAGAGGAAGAAGTCCGCTGGAGCGAGATCGGGAGAGTACGGTGGGTGGTTCATCTCCTCCACGTCGCCTTTCGTCAGGAAGCGCTTCACAATCAGGGCGGAATGAGCAGGCGCATTGCCATGCAACAGGAACCGGCTTCCTGCCTCTCGAAACTGCTACCTCACTCGAGCAATCCGCTTCAACAACCGGTCTAGAACTTGAACGTAGAATTCACTATTCACCGTCTGTCATTCAGGCACGAATTCCTTGTGGATAACACCACATTTGTAAATTTAAAAAAAGTGATCAATATTATTTTGATATTCGATTTTTGCAAGCGGAACTTTTTTCGCAGACCACAGACAGAGCATTTCATGCTCTGTCTTTTTGTGGTACAGGGTCCTACCAAAACACCCACGACTCATCTCCGGTAACATACAATCGAGAAAGTCAGGATTGCTCTCACAAGCCTAGATGAAATCTTCACAAGTTGCGACTCTGCGCTCCTTTTGCTCATCCGTGAGACTGCGCGGAACGAACTTCGCACAGACCTTCCGCTTTCCCAAATCTCCATGCAAAATTTGACGAATCGTCTCCCTACTTATGCTCAGTTCATCCTCCATTATTTTCAGACTCAATCGCTGATCCCTGGCTAACAGTTCTCGAACTTTTTCGATTGTTTCTAGCTTTCGACCAATTGACGACTCCTTGGATCGTCATCAAGATCCTCACGTCCATCTCGGAATCGTTTAAGCCATTCAAATACACGAGCGCGAGACAGGGCACCATCTCCATACACATTTTTAAAATCAGTTCGTAAGTTTCTGAAGCGGTTTTTCCAAGTTTAAAACAGAACTTGATGTTCGCTCGCTGCTCCATCGTAAAAAATTTGACAACGAAGAAAAACACGAGTTACGCACGACGCTGCTACACACAGAAAATTCAGTGCCTCAGTTCGATGCATTTTTCTCGCGGAAAAATCTGTTCTGCATGTGATGCGTCTTTATCGCATTGAATTTTGGATGCGGTTATCGCATCAAATGTTGGATGCGATAAAAACGCATCACATGGAGAACAACTTTTTTCTCGACGAAAATGCATTAGATTCTGCGTGTATGGGTCAGGTATATTATGCCCTTCTGCCACATTGAACATTTCGTGATGAACTTCAGCCACATCGAAATTTGCCTTGCATGTCCTATTGTGGGAATATAGTGGCTTTTGAGCTTAAAGCCCGAATACACGAACCTCATTCAGGGGAGACGACAGGGCTTTTAGCGAAGGAGCTCTTTTTCTCCCATAGAAATCCATGTATTCTTAAAGGACTGTTAAATATATATAGTTAACAGTCGGATCTCATATTGGCGATACGTGCTGCACCACCAACGCACCAAACGGAATACAAACACCGTACGAAACTGGACTCGAAGAATGAAGTAAGCGGTTACATGGGAATCCCTTCCAGACGCACGAGCTACTCGCACGGGTCGGAGTGAAGGTGAAGTGGCGATGAGGCCATGCACTCAGGCGGTTGAGTGTGAATCCCTCGGCTGTCAATGCATTGCCCCGAGGGTTCATGGGGGGGAGGGAGGGACGAAGGGCTTCCTCGGCACGATGAAGTGGAATACGGAGGTTAACTTGTGTCTAGACGATGCACAGCCACTCAAAACATCCTTCCGACTCGGCTTTTTTTGGTTTTGCGAACGCCTTTCAGGCGACCCTGCACGGTCGGGAAGACTCTCTATATTTAGCTTTTAGGTCAACTACAGAAAAAGAGAACTCTTTTTATTTTCGAAACGCGAAAATTGAGAGAAGTATTTCATCTCGATTTACCGATTTCTCTGAGTGCAGTCTCGTACGATCCAAGTCGTCGTTTCAGGTGTGCCCATAGGAATTCGATAGAGTTAAGGTCAGGAGACTGCGCAGGTCATTCCAGGACCTCCATCTTGATGCCTTCGAACCATTGGCGAGCCTCACGAGTCATGTGCTCGGGGCCATTGTCTTGCTAGAAGATGAAGCCATCTTGTCTCATCTCGTAATAATCGACTGTAGCGAAACACGTAGTCGTCCAGGATACTGGTGTTCAGTTCGGCGTCCATGCCTCCATCGATCCATCGACAAATCCAGCCAACACCTTGGGTTGTCATACAGCCCCAAATCATCAGGCTTCCACCGCCGAACTTGAATGTACCTTCAGCATGCTGAGGTTGAATGCTCGTACCAGACACTTTCCAAATCCAAATGCGCCCATCAGACCCCAGACATTCTTGGTTTCGATAGAGAAAATCATGCGAAACCATTTGTGTTTCGTCCAATGCTGGTCCAGTGCTGGTACTTGAGAAGCCGAGATGCTTTATCGTGAGAGGTGATGTTTATCATGAGTCTGAAGACTCTCTGGCAATAGATAACAATGGATTTTATGGCACACTGCTACGAGGTTGTGTAACAAACTTCATTGAGATCACTCATCTTCTACTGTATATGTCGTTCCTTTGTTTCGACAATGCCTGAATGCATCTTCTCCAACTCAGTAATCTGTGGTATAGACACTTACTGTACGTTTGACTTTCAGAACGCTTTCTAATTTACTTTTACCCACGTACCATCAATCCCGTGGGAGATGTTCTCGACAGTATGACAGGCTCTATCCGGTTTCAAGGCAGTAGGATGAAACATAGCAGAGAAAACTTGCCACTCTAATCTACAGGGGACTCACGAATCGCACTAATAGCCCAAAGCAATAACTATAAAGATTAATAACAAGTGAAAAGTTCTTTTGGGAAAGATTTTTGAGAAAATCGAGCAGAGTTCCAAGGTCATTTGATAAGGGATGCAAAGGCAAGACGCCAGAGGATTGAAGGAAGAGGGTGGCGACATTGATAATGCCAGTTTCCTTTCCTTTTCCTTCAAAACTTTTTGCCGTTGGGAAAGCTGCGTAGTTGTGTCTAACTGCAAAGCCATACCTGGGCTTCCAGGGAAATTCACCAACTCGTTTTTTGGGCATTTAATAGACGTAGTTTAATTGGGATGCTTAGCATGCATAACGCTGGTGCATCCAGGCCAATTAGCGTAAGAATTGAATGTTGATTGACAATCTTGTAGCAATAGTTACGATCCAGTGCAAGGAAGCCCTGAGGCCGTCGCAGTGGCGGCTCGTGGTTCATGCTGTAAGGTAGGCCAGTAAGGTAGCCAGGGAAGGGGGGCTGCCCTGGTTCCCACCCCCCTTTCCCCCTAGCGTACATAAGGTTTTTAGACCCTCATAGGACTTCATTGACCCTCCGAAAAATGAAACTCTCGCTGCATTACTGGGTTAACCCCAGGATAGCAAGAGAATATGTGTGACGGAAACCGGGAAAAGGGTTTTTAGCGTGCGTTTTCAACGTAGTGGAGCGCTCTGGCTGCCTAGTGTAGAGGGCGCTCTAAGCGAATCAAGTTTTCTCGGGACAAGTCGAACCTGAGCTGGGAGAGTCGTTCATTTACGTGAGAGCAATCTTTGCTCTGCCACTTCAACATGTTGGTTTCGTCTGTTTGAGGCCTGTTACCGAATTCCCTGTTTTTTTCTCCTTCACCATCACTTTTTATTGCAACCTTTTGTACGTCGAGTCTTGAGCTTCTGGAGTGGCCATTGGTTCGGTTCCGGACCAATTGTCTCAGAATCGTCCCTCTTTGCACCTCCCATTTCTCAAGTTTTCGTACCAGACCATACGGAAAGCACGAGTCTTATTAGAAAATTTGGAGATCTGGCGTGGCCCTTCTGTTCTCGAAAATTGTGGTTCACACAATCACTGCCCGGCGACAGGAGAAAAGAAAAGTTTTGGGAGAAAGAGATCTGATGGATAAAAGACCTAGGCGAACCGTGGTGCTGATAAAACAGGTGAACGAGACTCAAAAACTGGCTTAGCAGGATTCTAATTTCATCGGAGTGGAGGGATAAGGGAGAGAAAGAATATTTGGCAAGGCTGCATAAATTTGGCAACGTAGCACTCAGGCCTCTTCTCCCCGGCTTAAGTCTCATTCCGTTCACTTCGCTGCGAGACATCCCTTTTCCCAACTCCTCCAACCCGCTCCAAGTGAATAGGAGCAGGTTAGGCCTGAGAGAGGCTGGCCTAGGTTGGAACTGCGCATGCTCCGACTTACCTGCGATAAGGGGGAAGACCAGAGACATGGTAAATATACCTAGACTGGACATGGCGGTCTAAGATCTCGTGCTGATTTGAAGGACTGGTGGCCATTACTGATGGCGTCAAGGAGACGAGGAGGCTTGGGATTCACTGAGGCACACGTAGTCATGGTCAATGTGTTCAGGATTTGGATGTTATGAAAGCCCACTGACTGGGTCGGGTATCACGTCTTACAATGATGAATCGGGCTTGATTACTATTGACCCTTTTGCGGGGTCTAACCTTAGGTGTGGCGGAATTTTCAAAGCCTCATATAAACCCTGAGCCTAACTGCATGGGAAACTGATAATGCACCCTCTCATTATTGAGTGCAATGAAAATAAAGACGGAATAGGTAGCGTTAATCAATTTTCAAAATACCATACTTCGTCATTGAAGACCGGCTAGGCCTAGGCCTACCCAGTCTTCTTGGAGAGCATCAAAACTCAGAGTATTGTGACGTCATGAATAAAAAAGCTATGCGTTTATTGGTCGATTTGACGCCATGAGCGATGGCAGCTGACCCTTCTAATGGGCGTGCGGCTGCCTGGCGTTCTCCATTGGCCTGTCCAGTATATTTACCATGTCTCTGGGGAAGACCGGACCCAGCAGTCCTGTAGCTGACAGCATTCTTCCACCCTTTTCTTATGGCTTTACTCGTTTCCAGTACTTCGCCAAATTTACTGACTCTCACGAGGAAGCCCAAATATTATTCTGGCTGGAGGCATTCGAAACGTTGTCATTTAGAAGTTAAGATGGAGTTAGGGCCGGATTAAGGCGGGGGGGGGGGGGGGCAAAGGGGGCTGTTGCCCTGGGCCCCACTCTTCCAGGGGGGCCCCGGAAGGAAATTAACGTTAAATATTTGCGTAAAGTAGCGGGGGGGTAAGCCTCAAGAATCCACTTGCCCCAGGCCTCGCAACCTCCTAATCCGGTCCTGGATGGAGTAAAAATTACTTAAATTCGCGGTGTCTCTCGGTGCTCTCTTTCCTGTCTGGCCCAGGTTAAGCCCGACCTAACGTGCCTACCCCGACGTGCCGCCACTGGGCCGCCGTGAAGCTTCCTCATGTCATTCTTTGGCAAGGCCTTCATGAACCTATGTCTATCTTGAATCTCTGCTCCATCCTCCATGCAGCATCGAGAGACGCGAGTTCACAGACTCTTCTAGCTACGACGGCAGCGATGAGGATCCACTCGACTCCTTACTGGATACCACGATGAGAGGTCCCAAGAAGAAAAAGAAGGGCACACTTCCTCATCAAGATCCCCTCAATGCGAAGAAGAAGAGTTGGAAGGAGAAATTAAGGGCTGCCCTCACTCCGCGTTCCTTTGCGAACTACCTCAAGACTTTCCTCATCATCTGCGGCTGTGCCGTGTCTACAGTTCGTTGTTATTCTCTTTCCCGACTCTGTATATAGACCGCGCCTTAAATTAAATATTCCATTCACGATTAAGCTCGTTTACGGTGATTTTCAGTTGAATTCACTCTCCCCTACTGTGGTGGAAGCGGGAAGCTCTTACTGTCGGTTCCACAAAAGTAGATGTTGCCGCGATCACGGCTTTCTCTTTCGGGCTCGTTTCTAAGGCCTTCACACGCCAGTCTCGCTTGCGTCCCTTTTTATGGTGATGAGTGTTTGTTATTTTTCGCTCCTGTCCACAGAAAGTACAATGTAATGAGAACCGTGGTAAGTCTTCTCCACAAACGAACCCCGCCCCCCCCTCATTTAAGTTAGCCTTTAGTGACAGGATTTATAATGCACCAATGCGTTGTCGTCAGCTTGGCGATAATTCAATCACTAAGAACCAGTTGTTATACAAGTAGACCAGTATAAGTTGTACTTCCTTAGAATAGTTCCTTTCACGGTTGTGGGTGAAGTTTATTTTCAATGGTTAAGCATTTCCGACCGCTCTAATTTTTCTCTGGATCGCCACCCTTCGTGTTTCTTTGGAGGAGGAAAAGGCTGAGAATCCTTGTTTCAGAGGTTTGCATATTTGTGCTCTGCATGCATTTTTTAAATATAAGGAATTCCCGGAAAAAAAAGTCTTTGAGTTCTCGAGGATTTATGGTTCATGGTTAAATGCTTTTTCCCTCGTCCAGGTTTATTTGAGCATGAGGCCGGAGAACGAGATCAAGTCCATCCACGTGTCAGTCGCAGTTGGCAAACGGCACTGTATCCTTCATATTGACACCTTTCGATCTTGATCCCTCTGAGGGATCTCTAAATGAAGCATTCCACCAAGTCCTGTGACGGATTTCTTTGGAGTAAAGTAAGAAATGTCACGAGAATTCCTCATTGCAGAAACTTATAATGTTTTCTGCCCGAATTGCTGATCTTGCAGGAATCTTTGATCACGTGGGAACGACATTCATCTGATAGCTTATCAAATGTACGAGGGCTGCTCAACAAATTGCGGTCATTAATTTTTTCTGAAAAAAAAACTATTTACGCAACAGTTGTGGCTTAGCTGCAGAATATTGCACCAATCCATCTTGTATTACGTCACTAATGCGCAGACGTCTCCGTCGCAGCATGTCGGAATGACGGCAATACTAGTGCACTTCTGTTCGGTTTCGCAAACGGATTAATGGAGGACACACTCGAGGAACAGTACGCCGCTCTGAAATTTTGCTTTCGCCTCGAAAAACATCAGATTAAGCCTTCAGTATGTTGCAGGAGGCATATGGTGAATCTGTGCTTCCATACAGCACAGCCCGGCGCTGGTTTAAAATGTTTAAAGAGGGACGCAAGTGAATCACAAAGGAGGGTGGTCCGGGTGCTCCAGCCACTGCAGTAACCGAGGTAGCCATCAACACCACTGCTGTCATCGTGAGGGAGGATCGCAGTATAACTGTAAGAGAACTGGTTGAAAATTTGGGAATATCAGTGGGAAGCACATTTGTGACGTAATACAAGATGGATTGATGCAATATTCTGCAGCTAAACCGCAACTGTTGCGTAACCACGTAATATTTAGGACAGTGATTTCCGATTGAATTTACTCCCCCCCCGCCCCAAGCAAACACCTCTTCTGAATGGTGCCAAGAGTAATGTAACATGAAAGACACCTGTCCTCGCTGATTCTTGGTCAACAATATGTTCATCTGGTCATATTCAACATGAAGGAATCTTATCAAGGAAAGTGCCAACACCCACTTCAAATAAAAGTTACCAATTCGTAAAGGCTGGCGAGATTAAAAAGAGACAATCGCCACCCTTCGTGTTTCTTGGGAGGAGTAAAAGGCTGAAAATCCTTGTTTGAGAGGTTTGCAGATTTGTGCTCTGCATGCATTTTTTAAATATAAGGAATTCCCAGAAAAAAAAGTCTTTGAGTTCTCGAGGATTTATAATGGTTCACGGTTAAATGCTTTTTCCCTCGTCCAGGTTTATTTGAGCATGAGGCCGGAGAACGAGGTCAAGTCCATCCACGTGTCAGTCGCAGTTGGCAAACGGCACTGTATCCTTCATATTGACACATTTCGATCTGGATCCCTCTGAGGGATCTCTAAATGAAGCATTCCACCAAGTCCTGTGACGGATTTCTTTGGAGTAAAGTAAGAAATGTCACGAGAATTCTTGATTGCAGGAACTTACAATGTTTTCTGTCCGATTTGCTGATCTTGCAGGAGTTTCATGAATCTTTGATCACGTGGGAACGACATTCATCTGAAAGCTTATCTAATGTACGAGGGCTGTTCAAGAAAGTGTGATCATTAATTTTTTCTAAAAAAACTATTTACGCAACCGTTGTGGCTAAGCTGCAAAATATTGCACCAATCCATCTTGTATTACGTCACAAATGCGCAGACGTCTCGGTCGCAGCATGCCGGAGTGGCGGCAACACTAGTGCAGTCTGTTCAGTTTCGCAAACGGATTAATGGAAGACACACGCGAGGAACAGTACGCTGTTCTGAAATTTTGCCATCGCCTCAAAAAACATCAGGTTAGACCTACAGCATGTTGCAGGAGGCATATGGTGAATCTGTGCTTCCATACAGCACGGCCCGGCGCTGGTTTAAAATGTTTAAAGAGAGACGCAAGTGAATCACAAAGAGGGCGGTCCGGGTGCTCCAGCCACTGCAGTAACCGAGGTAACCATCTACACCACTGCTGTCATCGTGAGGGAGGATCGCCGTATAACTGTAAGAGAACTGGCTGAAAATTTGGGAATATTAGTGGGAAGCACCCGGACAGCCCTCCTCTGTGATTGACTTGCGTCCCTCTTTAAATATTTTAAACCAGCGCCGGGCCGTGCTGTATGGAAGCACAGATTCACCATATGCCTCCTGCAACTTGCTGAAGGCCTAACCTGATGTTTTTTTGAGGTAATAACTAAATTTCAGAGCAGCGTACTGTTCCTCGCATGTCTTCCATTGCTCCTGATGCGAAACTGAACAGAAGTGCACTAGAGTTGCTGGCACTCCGGCATGCTGCGACCGAGACGTCTGCGCATTTGTGACGTAATACAAGATGGATTGATGCAATATTCTGCAGCTAAACCACAACTGTTGCGCAAATAGTTTTTTTTAGAAAAAATTAATGATCACTTTTTATTGAACAGCCCTCGTATTCCAGAAATCATTCACCCAGAGCACCCCGCAGTAAAACCAGCAGGACAATCTTAAGAATGTTTTGTATCGGCCATGAACCTCGAAATTCATGCAATTGTACGTTGCAAAAATGCTCTGCCTTTCCACGAGGAGTCCATTATACTAGTAGAATAGGACTCGTGCCCATTTTAAATATCCAGGAATTCATAGACGATCTTTGACTCGTTTGGAACATGCCATCAGACATCAGATTGAACCCCCTGAACCCTTACCCGGATCTCCCCATCTCGGTCCTGGCGTTCCAAGGACCGTTCCTCCCCAGCGCCTACGCGAATCTCTCCCATTATCATCTGAATGTTTCCCTTGGAGTCAGGATGCGGGGGACGGTGCAGGAAGACTTCTTAACCGAATATTACGGGACCCTGGAGAACGAAACCACCATCGTTGTGAGTCCTAGTTCCGGCATAAACCATAGAGCCGGTTCGACCGTCGAATGGTCACGTGTTTTATAATCTCCTACCGCCACAGAAGGAGGATCAGCTGTCAATTTCGATTCCGCCTGCATTCGCGATCGGACTCGCACCCGACATGGAAGTCTTTTACTCCTTCGACCGGACTCCACTCCTTTTCTGGTAAAGGCTTTCACTTCAAGGTTTCACGCTATTTCGTTTGTCATTCACTGTGGGTTCTCACGGTTTGTTCTTCTCACGGTGAAAATGAACTGTAAACGCTGGATGTGAATGTAATGGGAATTGAAACCCTGCAGTGGGAGCAAGTGTGAGGCTGTGATAGTGGTGGAGACGGACTTGAACGCCCCCTTTCCCATCTCCATCTCGGCCACTGGGGTGTCTGGAAACATCCGCAATGGTGTCATTTACGGTGCAATCATTCTTCTCGTCTTGTATATTCTCATCACCTTCGAGGCTAGTCATTTAGGAGGTTTCCTGGCGCAAATTTTATATAAAATAGTGTACAGTATGTGGACGATCGTGAGTGATTGACTGTCTGACGCTAATTCTAACCATGTTCTAGAAATGAAGAGAGGCTGAAACTTGGAACAAGAATAGCTGTTAAATTGCAGACTCCAGAAAAATTCCAACTTTGGGGGGTACGTGCCGGGGGGACTGAATTTGTAAGCCTAGGCCTAGCCCACAGACGGACGCTCAGTCCAATGCCATTCTCATACACTTTCTTCCTTCAAGGAAGCGGGAGGGAAAACAAATAGCTATTGGATTGCATACTACAGATGAAGTTCGACATTGAAGGTACGAACCCTGAGGGGATTGATAGACCTATATCTAAGCCTACATACACTAAGGCCTACATCAATCTTGACAGACCTATTCGCATCCAGGGACTTTTCGGCCTAACTGACCGAAAATCCTGCTGCCTTAGCCTGAGGTCAATGCATTTCTGGGTCATATGTGAAGGGAAGGACATGAGTTTCTCGTGTATTGGTCTGCTTGCGGATGTGAATGGGTTATATATTTTTTTCTGGCAAGAAAACGAGTTGGAAAATTTTCTATTAAAATTCGATTTTGAGTTGCTATGCCCAATCCACTTACGGACGCTTAGGCCAATGCTATTTCTATTCACACACTTCAACGAAACGGAAACGAATAGCTATGGGCCGCATTAACGAAATTACGTATTTTATCATGGACAACTGTATTAGCCTTTAGAAGAGTTTGAAATTATGGACTTCCTTGGAGTCTTTGTGCCAGAATATAGATATGAATATAAGGATAAAACCCCCCATAGTCTACCCCATAATTATTGCGTTGAAACGCTGAAGTAATGGGCTTATGTGTTTGCTATTTTATGTTTCTTTGAGATTTGTATGCAAAGAAGAGTGTGACGACGACAAGCAGGAATTAAATTCAAAATAGGAACACTAAACGACGCACGGAGTTTTTATCTGGTGATCCTTCTGCTGGAAATCATGTGACGTCTCTATGAGTATTTTCTGAAACAACATTATTTTTAAGATGCTAGCGCCGAAAGCGCGAGAATTGCCAAACCCATTAATGAAGGGGTTTGGCCGCATCATTAGAGGTGAGCTTAAAAAACAAATGATTTAAATGCATTAGTAATTTAGTGCGTCCATGGAGAGTTTATTTGCCCGAAGGGCAAACACTCGCTAGTTGTAAATATTGCTTTGTCTGAGTTTATTTAGCGTATTTACATTGCATATCGAAATCACTTTAATAGTCAATTTACGTCTGATTGCCTACTAAATTCGAAATAAATCTTAGAATCGGTAAGCAGTCTAAGCAAAAGCTGTGATACCATGCTTTTGCACCGACCACGATCTGCCAGATACCTGTACTGTGGAACCTCCCATAGTGGGAAGGGTGACAATTCTACTCATGAGCTAGGAGAATCCCGTGTTAAGAAAAGCCCGATCGGTATGTCTCCCTTAGTTGGTGCATCGGACTCTGGCAGCATTACTGGCCTCCACCTTCGCCATCGCTACTTTAGCTGCGGTCAACGAGGTGAGATTCCATTCCTTTAAAGAATACATTGGAATGTAATCGAAATACAAGATGTAAAAGTTACAAATAGGTATGGGATTTGACTTAACACGAAAAACACGAAATGAGTGTTTGATGAGATGCGTTTCCATAGCGACCGACACTTCCGGAAATAGTATCGTGGCTGGACATGGAGACCCTGGCTCTCCTCTTCGGCATGATGATCATGGTAGCGATCTTGAGCGAGTCCGGATTGTTCGATTGGATCGCCGTCCTCGCCTACCAGGTTGGGATCCCTCATCCCGGGAGCAAATCTCATTTCCTGTCTCATCACGTATCTATCGCATACCTTTCATCTCGGGGATGTTTCATGCTCTAAGATGTGGTGGGGTGGTCTTTCTTTGTTCTTATGGTTGCAGATTGCCCACGGACGGAGGTGGTACCTTCTCACTTACTTGTTCTTCTTCACTGCCATCATATCCGCATTTCTGGACAATGTCACCACGGTCCTTTTACTCACTCCAGTCACTATCAGGTTGGGACGATATTAACTTGCATTAGCAATAGTGTCAGTTGCATGGACTTACATCGTGTAGCGGGTATTCGTTCAATATATGTGGTATAATTTACGAGGAATGCATGTACCCTTCTAACAAGGGATGTAAAAGAAAATGGGGTATTTTGGAACATACGGAGACATCAATGACTTACGATCTATATTCACTAATGATAGTTTTAAAAAATATGAAGTATGTGTTTTTAGGAATATTAGGAGTTTTTGCCTTCCTTTCTGAGAGCCATCTCAACCCCGTGGCGTTTCTGTTTGTGGAGTTTATGAATTTATTCTTTACTTAAGTCAGTAATTCGTCAAATTATACTCTGATGCACAGATTGTGCGAGGTGAGCGACCTGGACCCCGTGCCAGTGTTGATCCTCATGGTACTCTTCTCGAACATCGGAGGATCGGGTACTGCCATTGGAGACCCGCCGAACGTCCTCATCGTCTCCGACTCGACCGTGAACAAGAAGGTTAGGAAGTCGTATGGTGTTCTGGGGTGTCTGGAAGGGCACGCTTTCCAGGAATTCGTGTCTCTTGCAGGGAATCGACTTTGCGAATTTCACCCTTCACATGAGCTTGGGGATCGTGATAGTGTTTGTGGTGGTGTACCTGTTCATTCGGATCCGGTTTCGGAGTATTTCTTCACTCACTCATTCTGAGAGCCCCCACGTTGCAGGTAAACCTGGAAAATAAAATAAGACTGGCAATTTTAAATGAAGATAAGTGCATTAGATAGGCAAACCCAGCTTAGTCCTTTCGCAACTGAACGCGTTGGCATTTCCTTCCAGCTGGGACGGATTACGTTGTCATAAATAGAATATAATTATATGATGATTACAGTGAAGAAATGTGCCAGGGAATGATACTGCATGTAATCACAGTTTCCCGAATGGACACATTCCGGGAACGATATTCTTCAGAGACAAAAAATGTGTGCAGGTTGTTCAAAACATTAGTTGAAAAATTAAATACACAATATTTCACGAAAAAAAATTTCGCCAAATGTTCGCAAATATACCATTTTGTAGCATTTTTCTCCTCTTTCAGATAGACTTTAAAAATTTTCAATAGCTATATCCTTCGTCATTTTGGAGATGAAATCAAACCGTGATGTGATGGTGCGTTTATTCCAAGAAGGAAGAAAACAATCTGATATTGCTCGCTTGATGAATTTGTCAAGGTAACTCATTTCCAAAGCCATCAAACGTTATACTTAGACAGGAAGCAACAATGACACAGGGATGACAGTCACTCTTGAGGCACAGATGCACATGCCGAATGCTCACCCAATGTTTAATGGATGAATATATGAGTGCCATTTTCGTGAATTGATTGAAAACTGGGTTGAGTCAAATTGAGAAGGTCGCATTTACATAATCTGGATATGTCCCACGTGGTAGACTTGCGAGGCGAGATCGCGGTGTGGGAGAAGGCAGCCCGAGGCTTCTCTACCCTCTCGCGGCAGGAACTGGTCGTCCGCCGGATGCTAATGAGAAAGGTTCAGCACCTCAGGAAACAGCTGGATGAACGCATCGCCACTAACAATAGGTCTGTCTGCTCCACTCTCTCTTCGTCACTTAACCCTTGAGCGCAGCCAGGAGTGGACGGTTCGAACGCATCGTTCAAGTACTCGTAACTTGGCAAATTAGAGAAGAGCATATCAATCACGCGGGTCATTTTGGTTGTGCAGAAGAGAGAGTTCAATGCAGCGATTGCACTCAGGGAGGAGTTAACTGCACATCGTTGTATTGAATTCCTAATTTCACCCACTCCCGCAGTACCTGTGGGAGTGATTTGCCCTTCTCTATCTGACGGGGAAGCTCGGCGCCCGGAGAGGGGGCATCAGACCTCGTGCCGTACGAATGCTTGTAGAAAATTGGAGCTGATTTCTTTTGAGAGGTTTCTTATACGAAGCAGCTCATTTTATGGAATAGACATTGCATGCTGCTGTTTGCTAAGCAGTATGTGGCCCAATGCTCAGATGGCTAGGAAGAAATGTGATGAAATCTTGTGCCATGTTTGAGGGATAATCAAAAAGTTAGATATGTCGCTGTAGTGACTCTTTCCGACTACTGATGGATATATCCTTCAAAATAGGTTTTCTTCGGCACCGACACAAAATTTCCGGCATTTCTTTAGCTGCTGGAAATATTGCTAACACGTAAACTTTGGAATCACCAAGAGTCACCACAGCGTCATAAAAAAATTCAATCCCGGAACTCTTTGATCACCCCTCGTATATAGTTTCTGTTTCACATGATTTCCTAAAGTGTGAGCATACTGACCGTGGCATTGGGACGTCTCGATTATCATGCACAAAATTCATATATGTGGAGATGAAATTTTTGCATTACAGGGATACGCTAGATGATCGCTTCAGAGAGACCCTGGAGGAGCTGAAAACAAAAGTACGTCTTCTCCTCTCCTCTGCTTAGTACGCCTCATGGTTGATGTTCACTTTGAATTTTATTTCCTAGTCATTTTGAATGTTGCTAGGGGGGATGTAAGGTCAAGTTTCTTATAACCTCATTCCGATTCAACCTCTTGAATTCTGCAGGACAAATTTGTCATCTGACAGACAGTACTCCTCTCCCTGTCATTTTCAAGCAGTCCACCGTGATTGAACACGAAGCCCCTTGGGATGTCACAATTCGCAATATTTTTTTCTTTGACAGTACGTGATCCGAGACAAGGTTCTGTTGATCAAGTCCATGGTCGTCCTCGTGATCGTCCTCATCCTCTTCTGTCTCCAACCGGTTAGCTGATTACGCATAATACCTTCTCGGACTTCCCCTTCATTTCCTGTGCCGCCTAACTTCTACTCGATGAACGACTGTAGCGGTACTGCAGTCATTCAACGAGGAAATCTATTGGGTCCGTCGATGCAAAGCCGTCTTTGAGCAATAACTCCATTCAGGAACAAGGAAAGCACGAACCGGACGAACTTACTTTCAACTCTTACACTTAACGAACTTACACTTAACTTACACTTAAACTCAACGAACTCCTAAAAAAAAAAAGGATTAGAACCACTTCTGGATCTACAATGAAACTTTTATCAAAAACGTTTTCATTGAACCAGGCAAACACGAACTGAAACTGATTCTCAGAACAACCAGGATCTCAGGGCTTTGACTATCAACGCTATCATCTGGGACATTCACACGATCACTCCGACGAGTGACTTATAAACAAAGATAATGGAAAATGTTTATACGTTGCACAAGATATTGACTTGTATCTAGTCCCTTCCCTCGTAGTTCAAGAGCTACCGAGCGGTTCCTGTGGGTCGAAATATCATATGGTTTTGAAAGTGGACTCAAAACCATTTTATTAGTCTCTCGATAATTGGAGACCGCCTTGAAGGCGTACAGTACAATGATCTTTAAGGTTTTATTCCTAACCATAATTATTAGTGCAACGTAGGGCGAGGGACATGTGGTAATACGAATCTGAAACCGAAAATTTCAGAGCATCGAGTGAAGGTCGATTACGCGAGTTCCGGGTGGTAAATGAAAATTAAAAAAATAATAGATTTTACCGTCTAATGGGTTAACTTATGCCATCAGGACAGAAATTCCTCAGTTGATTAGTGCGATCTTCTTGAAAGTGACCTGAAACAGGAGTTGTCCTTTGAATTACGGATATCAGAACTATGGCCAGTGAATCTTATTTGGAGTGCAGTAATGGTTCATTCAACATACTGCTTCTGGCAGAATAAACATGCTGTTACGTAAAAGATCAATGGAGACAAGTGGGTTCATGGCTCTACGATAAGACTTGCCTCTCTCGTGTCGTCGGGGGAAAAACTCCTCTTTCCATTTCAAGCACGGAAATTTGCTCTCCTAGAGCGAGGGACCAAAACAGGGACCCGTCTTGCCCCCATACTTTTTCCTCTATCTCCCGTAATTCTGGGTGCTTTCCCTGCGTAGCAAATTGATCTGTTCTTCGGTTTCTGAACTCTCAGTACTTATTGTTTTTCCCTTTCGTTCTCATCCTTTCTCTTCATGTTGACTGCGGCAGGCACCCTCTGGATTGTTCACGTAATCACATGTTCCATCCGTCACCAGCAATATTTGGAGCAATCGTTCCTTCCATCTATAATACAGGGTGTCCCATCAATCACTATACCATTTCAAACTGCAATATTTTCCAAATTGCAACAAGCAGGTCAATGTTGCTACCATTGATGGAAAGAACGTTCTTTTAGAATTTATTTCATGATAAGGACTTTGAATCAGACTCAAAGGGAACTAGCTTCAGATGCATATTAGAAAGGTGTACTTGTTTAGGGACATGGTTGGTACATTTCTTTGAATCCTCTTCTAAAAATTTGCAAGACTTTATGTTTTTCTTTCCTTCTGAAAACTTCAGAAAGACTTAAGAAACAAAAAAGAAAGTATTTCATTTAATTTGCTTTCGCTGTCTTGAGTAAAGGCTTCACAATTGACTCTGCAGCAACAAAGAAAAGTTGCAACATGGATGGAGGTCTTTGAGAGCCCCATCAGAGTTAAAGGGGGGTATTGGTGATTTTTTAAATGCCGAGCCTCATGCTAAATGTATTGATGTAGGCAAAGGGGATTTTTAGGCACTTTCCAAAAGGAGAAATACCTACATTTTGAAAAAGATAATTTCAAAAGACATGCTATTGTTCAGTCAATGTTGCTTCTTTTTTCTTGTCAACTGTTTAATAGATGTGATTTTTTAAAATGGTATAGTGACTTATAGATCTTGTAGATTTCACGTCCGTCACTCTGGCATCCATAGTTGAAAGGACACTTGTAATTCAAAGGACATTCCTATTTCGCGTCACTTTCACTACTCCAATTCTTCTCCTCTCCAAGCTATACTTTGTCATTCGCAAACTTATTTTTAAAAAGTAATAGTTTTATTATTCATAGAGGTTGCAATAGCGAACTACATGAGGGCATTCTGCCCTGATACCTTAACCGCTAGAACCTCTAAAAATTCTCACCCTTGCATCCGTTTATCGACACACCTATCCGTCATTTCTGCATCTTCTCTCTGTTCTTTATTCTTTCCTCTTTCCTTGAAAAAATGGTTTGCCGTGAATTTCATTCTTTTTATTTGCTTCTATGTTTTTATTCGCTTTTTCTCACATCTTTTGAAAATATTATCAATTCTTTCTTCTTGTTCTACTTGATCCTAAGTTCTCATCACTATATCTCGTCTATCATGCGTGATTTTTCTTATAACTGAACTTTTTGCTTTCGTTTCGTAAATAACCCTGTACTCCCCCATTCATGGAGGCACAAGGAGATGTCATGTTAAACGGATACGATAGATTTAATGAAAGGTTAAAATTCAAAATTGAAATGTTCAACCTGTTGCGACCTCACTGATGCTCAATCGTCCCCGAGGTTTCTATTTTCTACAATGTGAAAATCTAAGGGTCTGTTTTCGGTCCTAATCTTTCTGTTACCAAATGTTTTAGCGTTTCGATTCAATCCTTGCCATCATAATAATGAAGCTGGCTGGAATAAGACAATGCTGATCAGATTTTAAAGCCATAAACAGAACAAAATTAGAAAAAATCCACTAAAACGAAAAGCAAACATGATCAACCATTTCATTGTTTGAAAGAAACAAATAAATAAATGAGGGGCGCAGGCTCTATAATCGGAGGTGCTTTCTACAGTATCAAGGTTTGGCTTAGGTATCTGAATATCTTTACCTATGTTGGCCGGTGAAGGTAAAAAGTTGCCTGGGGTATTTTTTCGCTTAGGTGGAGTCTTTACACTTGAGCCTGGGCTGGGTGGCTGTGTTGGGTGCGGTGACTCTTCTCGCCCTGGCGGATAAGGATTCCAATGTGGAACACATCATCTCGAGGGTGGAATGGAGCACCCTCCTCTTCTTCGCCGCTCTCTTCGTTGTCATGGAGGTTTGTTTCATGCTTCCCGCAGGCGTGTTCAAGGAAATTCTTCCGCCTTCTCAGATGTAATGCGGACGTTTAACGGATATTTCCAGAAGTTTCTCAAAACGATTGTTGAAGCCTATTCATTATAGAGTAATGGAGAAAAGGACAGTTATAAGTGAGCGAAAAAGTGGAAGTGTGTCGCTACAAGGAGGAGCATGAAGCCAAAAGTCAGCAAAACATTGCGAATCATTTTTCAAAGCCGTGCAACTTTTGTTCTCCATTGCAGTATGATGAATTTAAGTGCATTTTCATTTGCTAATTCTAGTTTAAGTTTAAGCTATTTCAGAAATTTTCCGTTTTAAAGTCGCGCTTTTCGATATAGCGCCACCCTCTATACAGCGCCAAAATCGGCGAAGACCAACAGTGGCGGTATATCGAGAGTTGACTGTATATTATTAGCGTGACTAAGGTTGATTTGAAAACGTCAGATCAGTTGTGATTCGATTCTAGTTTTAGCTCAGACTTCGATCTGACTGCGGTTCCATTGTGCTCTGGTCGACTTTCATCACAAAGAAATTCAAACAAGAATTGCAACTAAAGTAAAACTGAATCAGCATTTCTATTGAGCTGTAGTTTTAAAATCAGCTCAGGTGGTGGAATGGAGTCCTCAGAGCAACGATGAACGTACAAATTCACAAGTTTTTGACATAGAATTACATGATTGAAAAAGTTATTCTAAAATCAGTTTCATGTGCCAATATAATGACGAAGGTTTCTACGAGTTCGGATGGACAACGGCAGTACATATTCTTGAATGGTGAATGATGTCCTTTAACTCCCACGTCGTAAGACTCAATGAACGAGAATTCGGCCACGCATTGTCGTCATTCTGCCATACGTTATAGGTTGCAACGGTTGGTGAGAGGTTTGCTTTTGACAGGCGATGAATCGACTCGGGCTTTTGATGTGGTTGGGTGGTCTGGTGGAGTCGTGGATCGGGAGCCTGCCACCGTCCGCCAGGCTCCCCGTCGCCATCATTCTCATCTTGTGGAGTTCCGCCATTTCTTCCGCCATCATTGACAACATCCCCTTAACGGCTATGATGCTGCGGATCGTGGTGAGGCTCGGGGACGAGTCCTCGACTTTGGGTCTTCCTCTTCAGCCGCTCATCTGGGCGCTCGCCTTCGGCGCCTGTCTCGGAGGTATTTAAGTTTCCTGTGATTTCGTCCTCCCAATCCTCATGTTCCAGCTACGACTTTGTCCTCCCATTCGTTCTTTAAGAATGAATTTGACGCCAGAACCATACAACAGGATTGTTTAGATAATTTTAAGTGCGTAGGAGGAGAGATAGAATATGAGGTTGTAAGAGGACATAATACA